ATCTGCTGTATGAGAAAAATAATATTCAGCCCATTATTGTCATAAGGACTGTGAGGCACCTAACCCGGCACAGTGAGGTATCTAAGCCTGTACAGATTGATACTGAACCTTCTCTTTTTATCTTTCAAACATCACCATCATCTCCAATCCCTGCTTTCTTAGCATCCGGTCTTCTGTGGCAGGGAGTGTATCCTAAACTTGAGGGAGAGAAGGAAGTTTCCAGAAAGATGTCTAAGTTTATTTACCGTGGGCAGAAGACCCTTAAGATGCCAACAGTGGGTAGAGCTACCGGGAAGTCAGGTGCGTGTGCTATCATCTCTGTGTATACTCGCCTGCTGATGCTGCCTCTGTGAGCCCCTCTCCTCCCTCCAGAGGAAAATCATCTCCCAACGTTTTCATCTACTGTGAGCTGTGAGTTGTGATTATGTGCAGCTTCTCTGAGGATCTGGAAGGGCAGCGGAAGGCGAGAAGGCAGTTCAAGACAGGGATGATGGGCACCTTGATGTTGTGCGGTATAGATTTTATCTACCATATACTAATTGTGTGACCAGGTATGCCTGGTCTTCTCTTCAAGATTCAGTCTGCAAAGAAGAATAATAGAAAGGGTGTCTCTCCATTCTGATTGTGTGGTGAGCTTTGTAACACAGTGTTCTATAGGGAGCGTTTGGAGTACCTGTAGCTCTGTCTGCACCTGTATCTAGTTAAGTCTCCACTTAAACTGTGGGTGATGAATTTCAGCATCCCCGGTGGATGCTTCTGAATTCTACAGATACTGGTTTTTTTTTTTTTTAATACAGCTATATCCATGGTAAAGTTTATTTAGTCAGTACGTTAGAGTTGGTAAAAAATTGGCAAGAGTTATAGTATACTAGAACAATGATCACAGTGTCTTATAATAAGATTGCCGGCATTGTTAGTTTGTGCTATGAGCTATTATTAAGGAAGTCTTAAACATTACTATGGCCAGACTGTTTCAGTAGATCTGCAGTGGAACAGCTACATACAAAGTGGGTGCTGGGTGAGCCGTGTACACAGTGTGGACAGGGTGGTTCACGTCGTGGGTGGGTGGGAGTCAGCACCTTGAACAACAGGAAAGTGTTGCCATTTCACGTGATCGCTGCTCCAGGCCCAGCAGTGAGTGATGTGGGTCCCATTGCTGCCTTGCTGCTTAAAGACCACAGTGACTGTCACCAGGGGTGTGAGAACAGCACTGGTGTTAGAGCTGGGACCCGGTGATGCAGGGTCTTTTGTTTGCTCAGGCAGTGCAGGTGGCTGCCTTTCCTGCCTAGTGACTTTGCAATGTGAGTCCAATGGCCGGGACACTGACAAAGGCCACATCACTTTCTAATTGCTTCCTTTGGACAAGCTAAGTGCCTCCTGTCACACGTGAATCATCAGATAAATCATGAGGACTCTGGGTTAGCCTGTTTCACAAATGAGGAAAACAAGGTTATGGGGGTTAAGTAATTTTCCTTGATAAAACAGCTGGGATGACTAAAGACAAGCTTCCTATGCCTTGTTCCCTCCCACTCAGCCCTCGTTGTTAGCCCTTGGGGTGCAGTGTTGTCCCTGATAAAGCCACTTACTTACCAGAGTCTGTTGTCCATTCTCTCATTCTGTACATTGGCCCTAAGCCCCGCCCCGGTTCTTCCTCCAGAGAGGCCTCTTCCTTTGCCTTGTGCCTTTTTACTCTCTCACCTTCTGACCTGGGCTAATGAAGGAAAGGACAGCCTCAGACTTCTGAGCCTTGAGTTGGGAGTTGTAAATCTCTGTTTTGTATAAATTAGCCATTCTTAGGGATTTTGTCACGACAACAGACTGGGGACAAAAACCTAGAGTATTTTAATTATTATGTTTTTAAGGCCAATTCTTCAAACTAGAATTAGATGATAAAATTCTACTCAGGAACCCTTATTTTGGGTAACTGAAAACACAGTTGTTGTTTCTCATTTGTGTGGAACTGAAGAGCAAGCCTGGGACTTCGCACACGCTAGGCTTTGCTGTACCAGAGGGCTATCAGTTCCCAATCCTCTCTTACTAATAATTGAGAAGGAGGTGCTTAAGGATCCCCCCTGGAAGCTTGGGGAGGAGTATCTATGTCTGATTTTTTTTTCCCCTGGGCATTTTAGGCAACTCGTTCTTTCTTGGCCCAGCTTGCTGAATCAAGTACCTGGCCATAACTCCCTTTTAGTAGGTTTGAATATAGCTCTGGTGGGCTGAGAGCCAAAGGAGCTTCAAAAACAAGGCCTTTGAGGTCAGGCTCTGTGTGTGGAGTTCCTCATTTTCCAGGTCAGGACTGGAGCCAGTGCTGGGTCTGTTTCATAATCAGTCAGGATTGTTTCAACATACAGCAAGTTTTAGCATAGGATTCTTGGCTTGCCGTGAGTTAGCCAGAGACAAAGCTAACATTTCTGTGTGTACCTCTTCTCTACCTTAGTTTCTGAAATTACTTTTCCTTTTGATCACTGGCTAAAAGCAAAAGCTTTGAAATGAGATAGACCTGGATCTCAGTGTTGGCACAGTGCTGACTAAGTGTTCTAGGGACAGATGTTTTCTCTACATGTAGGTCACCTTATCCTTAATATGGATGTAAAAATGTAAGCCATATATAACATGATGCCTTGACTATAATTGGTACCTGTTTCAACAGTTTAATGCGATGAGCCATCCAGACTGTAGAAGCTCGCTTGGGTTATTATGTGAGTAGAGTTGCCCACAAAGCTCTTAGGCTGAAGTCTATCACAGGGATGGTTGTACTAACCCTTGGACATTGAGTTTGTCTACAGCAGAGGTCCCACTTGACTGGCTGCTGAGCTCCTGTGAACTGGGTGGGCTATGTGGCCAGTTCTAGGAGATGTAAGCTGAAGGGTGGCTCTAGCTTTATACTCCCCCGTGTAGCACCATGGACATGGGTGCATATCACATTCAAGGTCTCTCTTACTGTTTTGTTTAGAATCTGCTTTTGTAGAAAGATACACAGTCCTGTTACGGGCGGGGGGAGGTGTATGCTTTTCCCAAGCGAGCAAGGAACTTAAGATGTCAGGCTGCGGAAGACCTGGCAGTCCCTGGGCTAGGCAAGGAATTCTACCGTTTAAAGTTAATTCCTTGAGGTGGGTCCATTGTGCTGGGGCCATAACCTTCCCTAGGAACTGCAAGGCCCACCTCACCCTGGCAGTCTAAGATCCCTCACTGGCCCTGGCTATCAGTAATAAGATTCAGTCGATCCAGTGAGACTTCATGACTAGTGAAGGCGGGGTTCTGTGTCACGCTGACACACTCAACTTTGGCCTCCTTGTGCTTGATTTTATTACTTCCTTAGATCTCAGCTGGTTCCCCCTTAGACCTCAGCTGGTTCCCCCTTAGACCTCAGCTGGTTCCCCATGACTTTTTGGAGGGAAGTGGTTTCCCATGTAGACTCGTGTCTTGGGAGGCAGGAGGAATCGCCCACACACCAAGTCTTTCTCTTGTGAACCACAGTCATTGGCAGGCCTGGCTTTACCCAAGGCAGCATTACAGTGTACAACCATTAGGCTGCTGTCCCCAGCCTGCTTGGTGGTAGCTGTTTAGGTGACCAGGATGGAGTCATTTTGCCTGTTCTTCACTATGAAAATGATGCTTCAGCTTTTTTGGATTAGCTCTCAGATGCAGGAAATTTTGTAATTGTTGTCACTCTGGTTATCATTTCAAACTCCTAATGATTATTTTTCATATTTCCCAAGAAGAATCCAAGGCTTCATTGAAGGCGGGAAAGGCACATCTAGCCCAGTACCTTGAAGGGAGCTCCTTTGCAATAAATTTGATCTTGCTGATATAGCCTAAAGTGCCATTAGGAAGCAAAGAAGCTAATGGACCCGGGGTTGGCCCCCTTTCTTTTCCATCTTTCTCCAAGGTGGTGTTTTCTTTCGCTTTTGCTCCTTGCTGTGTCTGCAGTGCTGAGAAGGCCCCGTCACACTGCTGGTGCTGCGTAGGGGTTTTCTTGATGAGTGACTGCATCAAGTGTCAGCCCTGGAAGTCTCTGGAGGTCAGGTTGTCTTCAGGTGGGGAGGATGGGTTGTACTTCCAAGTCTTTGTTTTTCTTGCAGTTTAACTGTCTCAGGAAGAGGTGAATCGATGATAAGTTTGTATACACGTTTTGGATTCATGTGTATATATTTTTATTTACCATTTTTGAGGATTTAGTGCAGAAACATGTACATGTTTATGATACCTTCCCTTCCCCCATCCCCACAGTTCCTCTGTTTTCCCCTTTCAGATTCCCAACTCAAATTCATGTCTTCTTCTGTACGACTTTGTTCTGCAACTATACATTGTTAAAATTAGACTTTGGTTTTTTAAATAACAGACTTAGGGTCACTTCAAAATTAAGCAGATGCAGGGTTGAGAAACCAAGGCTTGCATATTTTGGCAGTGAATAAATCTGCTATAGACATCAATAGACAGAGATTTCCCATATGCCTCTGCTCCTGGACGTGCATGGCCTCATCCTTTATGAGCACCCTGTGTTGTGCACATTGACACACCCTTGTCACTATACTTAGTTCTGTTCAAATGTTAGAAATGTTGAGCAAAGCTGCCTCCCTAAGCACTCGTGTGTGTCTCTGCCATCTCATTGCTGTTATCTCTGTTTAGGGTTCAGCCATTGTTGCTGGTGTATAGAGTCCTCTTGTTGTATGTAGCATTTTCCTCCCAGTTTATTTTGTTTGGAATCATTGGGAGCAAATTATAGCAACATTTTGCAAGTTCCCCCAAATAAATTAAATTTTATTTTGATGCTTAAGTCAATGATTTGTTACCAGACATGGAAAAAAAAAAAAGCCAAAACAAAAGGTGGAGCTTTGCTGCTTCCTTGTCAGTGCTGTTTAAAGGAAGCATGCCCCTTAGCTTATAAATTTGTTTCTGTCGCTCCATTTGCTTTGGTTCCTCTCAACTGTTGACTGTTTAGCAGGACATCGCGTTTGCTGAGAAGATGAGAATAACACCTAAACTTCAATGTTTTCCAGGTCCCAGACCAGCCGTATATCTTCAGCATGGCTTTCTGGCAGACTCGAGTAACTGGGTCACGAACATTGACAACAGCAGCCTGGGCTTCATTCTGGCGGATGCTGGCTTTGATGTGTGGATGGGGAACAGCAGGGGAAATACCTGGTCTCAGAAACACAAGACTCTCTCAGTTTCTCAGGATGAATTCTGGGCCTTCAGGTAGATCCCAGTTGATTTTGACTCGGGTCTGTATCTTTAGCATCCTTTAGGTAGACACATGGGGATTTAGCTGGAAGGCAGGTTCAGGAGTGACTCTGAGGTTGTATAAGGAAGCCAGCATCTTTTGGGCAGTTCTAAAACTTATCAGGAATTTAATAAGCAATGTGAAGGTAAATATATATAAATGATTGCATAAGTGATTAGACTCAGTTTGGAATTCTGAAGTTATTCTTAACATCCCTGGCATTAGGGAGGAGCTGGCAGGTTAAAAATCAGCCTCTCTCCTCATAACACACAGACTCACAGGTTCATTTGACTACTCTCTCTATCTCTTTCTTACTCCTTGCTGAGTGACACTTGGCACAGCTATAAACTGTCTGTGTCTGTTTCCTTATCTATAAAATGGGGATAATAAAGTCCTATCTCATACACTCACTGGGGCCTAAAGTAACTTGGAAGAAGGAGTCTCCGCAGAGCCTGGAATATTCTAAGTACTTTCAAACCACTGGATTTTGCTGTCCTACTCTCTCTCTCTCTCTCTCTCTCTCTCTCTCTCTCTTTCACACACACACACACACACACACACACACACACACACACACACACACACACACATCTACCTACCTTGTTAAAGACTACAGCTTAGTGTACCAGGTATTATAGAAGGCTTTAAGAAAGAACTTTTACCAAAAAGGCATTTATTAGAGAATGCTTATTGTGACATTGTTTAGAACAATGGATACTCAAATAATTCTTTAGCCATGCTCAGTGTGTGCCAGTGTGCTTCAGGCCAAGTCACTGTGCTGCTCTACTTTTGTGTGCTATTTCAATTGAACAGTCCTTTGTTTTTTAAATTGTAGTTTTGATGAGATGGCGAAATATGACCTACCTGCTTCAATTAACTACATTATAAATAAAACTGGTCAAGAACAAGTGTATTATCTGGGTCATTCTCAAGGCACCACCGTAGGTATGTATACGATAAAGTGGGAAAAGGCGGTTGTCTCTGAAGGGAAGTGACGCTACGCAAAAATGTTGTTACTTCAAATACAGGTTTCTTTGTTTTTTAAATGTCCAGCAGAAATCACGAACAGAGCAGGGAATTTCCAGTAATAATCTACAGAAACTCAGAATTTACTGTACGTCGTTAAGTATCTTAAAGTTGAAAGAATTGATGTAAGGTATATCTTGTTATGTGTTTTCTAATTTAAGCAGCATAGGGATGTGAGAGGTTAGAAAAATGGGAAGTCGTCTAATGCCAGAAACTTCAGAGATTAATCCCATCACTCGGGAGGCAGAGGCAGGCGGATCTCTGAGTTTGAGGCCAGTCTGGTGTACAGAGTGAGTACCTGGACACCCAGGGCCCATAAGAAAAAAAAGCCCTGTCTTGAACCCCCCCCCTGCCACCCCAAAAAAGAAACTTCAGAGAGTCATTAAAGGAAAATATACTTTAAGTGTTTAGTGCCAGACTGGGGTGCAGCTCAAAGTAAAGTGAGTGTCTCATATCTTTGAACCCCAGGGTCTATCCCTTAGCACCACCGAAAATAAATCAATCAGTAACTAAAGAAATAATGGTAAGCGAAACATAAGTAACTGAGATGACAGTTTAGACTCAGGTTTGAAAAGCCATTTGCATTTTTAATTTATGTTGATTATAAAAGTAATATGTTTTCATGTGTTTGTGTATTTGTGTGTGAGAGAGTGTGTGTATGTATGTGTGTGCGTGTGTGAGAGAGCATGTGTGTGTATGTGTATATGTGTGTGTGAGCATGTGTGTGTGTGAGCATGTGTCTGTGTGTGTCTGTGAGCGTGAGCATGTGTGTCTGTGTGTGTGAGGGAGAGCATGAGTGTGTATGTGTGTGTGAGTGTGTATGTGTGTGTGAGCGTGTCTGTCTGTATGTGTGAGAGAGCATGAGTGTGTGTGTGTCTGTGTGTGTGTGTCTGTCTGTGAGCGTGAGTGTGGGCGTGTATGTGAGTGTGTGTAGATCAGAGGATAACCTTCGCTCTCAGTCCTTTGCAGGCATTGCCTGCCTTGTTCTTTTGAGTCTCTCACCAGCCTGGGCTAGCTAGACACTGATTGGGCTAGACCAGCTGGCCAGTGAGCCAGCCTCCAGGATGCCCCTGTTCCTGCTGGCCCAGTGCTAAAACTAAAATTGCAGACCACCGCACCTGGCTGTGTGATGTGGGTTTTGGGGACTGAACTCAGGTTTTGTTTGTATGGCCAGCCCTTTATGAATTAACTTCTCAGTTCAATATGTTTTAATTATAAAGAAAAGTACAACATTTTGCAAAGTTTTTAAAAAAAATACAGATTAGCATTAATTTTAACAAGCAAGTTTCTCTAATGAGAGGCCAGGACCATGTTTCATAGTTTCTTCAGTTCTGCCATTTGGGGTTCACATGTTCATGGCTCATGATCTGTATAGAGTACATTCTGTAAGGAGAGTCACAAAAGGAAAGGTGTGGAGGCTTTTCAGGGTCTGAACACGTTACTGAATTGCCTCGGCCTCCAGAAAACGGAGCTGCGATTCTTCTTCAATTACATCTTTTGTGACTAGGTGACTTGCGTGTTTCTAGAGCGTTCCAGGGACAAGTAGCAGGGGGTAGATCTGAGAGAAGTGTAAAAGGTACTTTACAGCCAGTGGAGTCTGTTGTGGCTTTAGAGTCACTGGTGTTCTGCAGATTAGGAATGGGAGGAGGGAGAGGGGTAGAGTAGTGGGTGGAGCTGTAGAGATTCATGTTGCTACTGAAACAGGGGAGGATTTGCGAATATCTTACCCTGGCCTTCTTTCCATGTGAATTATAAGCTGAAATCTAGACCTAAATTCTGTTTCTGAGCCGGAATGTTTGAGAAGCTCTGTTCAAGTGTTTGAAGCCAGTAGCACTTGTGCGTTAGTGGGCTTCCTCTGTAGGCACGATGGGTGACCTTTCGTGTGTGTGTGTGTGTGTGTGTGTGTGTGTGTGTGTTTTTGGAAGAACTAGATGTTCTAATTCTCTCTTTTTCCCCATAGGTTTTATAGCATTCTTGCAGATGCCTGAGCTGGCAAAGAAGATTAAAATGTTTTTTGCCCTGGCTCCCGTGGTGTCTCTCAATTTTGCCTTGAGCCCTATGGTCAAGCTTGCACGGTTGCCAGACATTCTCCTTGAGGTACTTGGGTTGCACCCACCCACCCTTCTCAGATATTCTCTTCTGAGCTGAGAAATTAGTCATTGGAGGCGAATTGACAGTGTTCTCTGTATGTGCTATTGCTGGAATGTACATATTGTATATGTATGCACAGTGGGTGGGCTTGCCTTCACCCCTCCTCCTGCAGAGGCGCCTAGGGAACCGCATTCTTAACTAGACATACAGCTGCATGTATTCATAGTTAACGTGTTAGTTAGGCTCTCTACCTAATATACAAAGAAGATAGAAGGAAATCTTTGAAAAAGGAACTTACCTAAGCACTCATAGAGTTGCTTTTCATCCACAGGGCAAGTGGGTGCACAGGAGTAGACAGGAGATAGGAGAGAAGAAATATGTCATTCCTATGTGCCTGTCCCTAGCCGTACTGAAAATGAACTAAGACATTATTGGGCCCTTAAACATATCTGTGCTGAGCCCTAGAGCTGTGCCATTCTAAGGGGAAACAGCACTCTTGAGGGGGAGTTTAAGCTCATTACGAATGGACAGTCCATTATTCCTGCATTATATATTTTAAAACAAACAAACACACACACATACACATGAAATACTATACAGCATTATATACAGTATGGGTTTTTGATGGTTTGGTTGTGAGCCTAATTTTTAATGACTGAGCCATAAGTCCTGCCCTGTAATGGGCTTTTGACAAGAGAATCATGCATTGGACTGTGGTCCCAACAGGTTACAGTGAAACCGAAAACTTCCTATCAATTAGTGAGAGTCCAACATATAGCCCACACACAAGAATCTATGGTCACAAGAGTTACATGAAAGTGTAGGGTATGGTATATAGGTATGCTTAGTATTTCTGTCATCATTGGCTTTAACCGCCAACTTGACACAGCTTAGAGTCATCTGAGAAAAAAGTTGTAATTGAGGAATTGCCTCAGTCATATTGGCCTGTGGCATGTCTGTGGGAGACTGTCTTGACTATCAGTACAGGAAGTCTCAGCCCACTGTGGGCAGCATCATCCCTGTGCAAGTAGTCCTGGTTGTATAAGAAAGGTAATTATAAGAAAGTGTCAGCCTGTGAGTGAGCCAGCAAGAACCTCTGTGGTTCCTCCCCTTTAAGTTCCGTCACTGAATTTCCCTTAAAGATGGCATGTGACCTGGATGCAATAAACCCCTTTTCTTTCCCAACTTGCTTTTGTTTGGAGTGTTTGACAATAGCAGAAGTGAAACAGAATGCCATTCTTGATAATGAAAATAACCATCGCTGGCTTATTTCCACCCTATCCTTTAAATCATAATTTGAGCATGTTCTCCTTCATCTCGCAAAAATGCTTATTGTAAAGGCATGTGGCATGATGTGCCAGCAGTGGGCCTCATGAATCTCATGTTCGTCACATTTTTTGATTTTGTCAAGGGTCTGTGTCAAGTGGTTGACCTACACCGTCTAGAGTTGTGTAAGCATACTATGTAATGGTTGCACAATGCTAATGTTACCTGAGAACTTGACTCTTAGAACTTACCCCTGCTATTAAGTGACTCATTCCTTAGAGGTGGGTGTAACATGGCTTTCTCTCTCCCTCTTTCTCGCTGGCCATTTTAAAGTCTTTTACGGGAAATACATACATACATGCTCTTAATGAGACCCTCAATGAGGTAGAACAACTGTAATGTTGTGCCCCATTGCCTTTGTAACTGCGGTACAGTAAGTTTTAGGTTACAGAGAGCTACCGCTCACCAGACTCTTGTGGTAGGAATTCATCGCATCAGCAAACATGCTGGCAAAATTTTGTTTTGACTGTTTCCATTAGTAGAAGTATTCATTTACAGTACAAACACTTCAGAAATTACAAGTAGTTCCTGAATACTAGGCCTCCTCCCTAATACCTTTTTAGAATTATTCAGTTTGGGGATCTTTTCCTATAGACCCCCTATATGAATTTTGCACATAGAGATGCACCAAGAGAAATATATTGGTTTGTTTCAGCACAGATGGTACCCAACTCTATAGATTGTTCTGCAGATTGCATATTTCTCCCATGGAGAGCTAGCCTGTTAACCGATTTGTTTATTAACTGCAGCATAGGCAGTTTTTGATGATGAAGACCTGTTGTTAATTAGCTGTACTACTGGTAGACGTCCAGGCTGGGGGGGGGGGTGGGGGGGGTGGAGCTCTAGAGTGGACAGGGGAGTGTGGTTGTAGGAGCTCCTGGTGTAGGCATGCGTGTCATAAATCTAGCTTGTTCCTTAGAGTTTATGAGTTAGTTAGCTTTGAAAACCAGAAAATGCCACACTTCTCCCATTCCTCTTTAGAAATGGTGTTTTGTAAAATCTGGAGTGGAAATCAGGGATCCATGTTTTTGCAAAGCATTCTCTATGGTATCTGGTGAAGATTATGGGCCTGGCACTTGGGAATCATGGTTTTAGACTGGAGTGCTTTCTGACACATGCCGGGAAAGTAAAAACAAAAACAAACAAGCAAACAAACCCAATAGATAAATATTCCTAAAACCGTTGCATTAAGCGGGTGTGAAAAATGCATGTTGCTTTTCTGGAAGAAAAATGTTCCTTTCTAATCCTTTGAAAAAGCATAAAAGTATGATTTATAAACCTATTAAAGTTAATTACAAATAGTTAGGCAAATTCTCCTTTATCTGTATCTACCACATGCATGGATGTGGTTTTCAGGGGAGTTTGCCACAGTAGTAGCTGGGTCAGTAGTTCTAGGCACCAGGTCAACTTTAGACCCTTCAACAGCCCAAAGGCATGGTGGACTGTGATGTGAGCCAATGGTGTATCATTCTGCTAAACAGAGAACTTGACAACTGTGTGCCGTTGTCACCGTGACTGCTCTGAAGACTAAGCCAAGAGTTGTGAGTGGCTTTGCCTTCCAGGTCTCCATGTGGAAATTCTGGTCCTTTTCAGCTTCTTGTGCAGCTGTTGGGCGAAGATCATTTAGGCCTGATGTGTGTTTTCAGGTTTGATACATTGTCCAACAGAAGATTGACTTGACAGTGTGCTGGCTAGTTTTTATGTCAGCTTGACACAGGTTACTGTTGTTTGGGAAGGGAAAATCCCAACTGAGAGATACCCCCTACCCAACTGGCATGTAGGCAAGTTTTGGGGGTCATTTCTTAGTTAGTGATTGATGCTGGAGAGAGCAGCCCATTGCAGGTGGTGCCACCCCTGCACAGGTGGTCCTGGGTTCTAGAAGAAAGCAGGCTGAGCAAGTCATGAAGGAGCAGGCCAGTAAACAGCACTGTCATGGTTTCTCCATCAGTTCCTGCCTCCAGGTTCCTGCACAGTGTGAGTTCCTACCCTGGCTTGCTTAGATAGTGGACTGTGATATAGAGCTAAAAGCCGAAATAAACCCTTTCTTCCCCAAAAGGCTTTGACCATGGTATTTTACCGCATTAATAGAAATCCTAACTTAGACAGACAGAGGTCACAGTCTATCCATCTATAGATGGCCAAGTTTTCTTGAAGAGGCTAGAATACAATATTATACATTTAAACTAGTGAGATATTTACCCGGCGGATCAGATAACTGACATTTTTTTTATTTAATTTTTTATTGAAAAAAAAATTCCGCCTCCTCCCCACCTCCCATTTCCCTTCCCGTCTCCCTTTTCCCCTCCTCCTCCCTCTCCTCTCCCCCTCCCCCC